GTTAAAAAAGTGCCCCAATTTTTTTTTTTTTTTTGTCCACAAGGGGGGGAATTTTTTTTTTTAAAAAAAAAAAAAAAAAAAAAAAATAATAATGCGCTAAAGATGGAAACACATTTGCCGGATAAATTCTGAGATAACTAACTTTCCACTCCAGTCTGGGTGGAGGAGCATCTACTGGGAGTGGCCGGCCAGAGACACTCTTGGTAGCTGTGGAAAGGTAGCGTCTACTGGTGGGCCCGTGCCATACCAGAGGCATGAAGGCCGATGGAGGAGAGGACTCTCAAATTCTCTGAAGTGTGGGGTCCATGCTAGTTTACAGCCTCTACATCTGGATTATTACATCCATAACATCAACATGTCACGAAATTATGCTTCATGCATTCAGGTTGAGTCGCTCCAAATTAGTGGATGGGGATGCGCCTGATTCACTTTTTTTACACTTTTTTTTTGCAAAATGTTGTAAGTTTGCTCAATAACATAGCCGGTAAGTCAACATCAAACTAGAGAGGCACCGATCCAATATAAATTATCTATCAGTCTACATACTGGGGTGGGGGGAATAATGTACTCGATCAATAAAGGCAAATCTATTTAGTGTAATTCTATGCTGTGTACTCGGAGTGTCGTCACCCTTTATTATTAATTTTACATTATAATCACAATTCCTACCTGTACTTTCTGAGCCATTTGCAGTTTATTTTTTTATACGTTCAACCAAGGTTGAACCTATTGTTTGTCAATTTCAGTTTATTGTTTACTTTGGCTGTCCTACTTCTAGTTGCACTGACAAAACGAATTAAAGTCGTGTTGATTTTACATGTTTGACCAAGCTTGTGAAGCCATTGATGTATTTAAGTAAGCTGCACTGGTGCAGTCATCAAATATATTTGTAATTCAGTACATTTACATCTGTGTTTAAAAAAAACGTTTAAAATTAAACCATTTTTCAAATCGGCGGAGGCTAAACGTCAGATATCTATATTAGTATCGGAAAGAAAATGGGCCGGTGCATCCCTGTTCCAGACAGGGCAAAGATGGTGTGTGAGAAAAAGCTGGTTGTTACCTGAAGGAAGTGGATGAAGTAGCATAGAACCAGTCTGTTGAGTTCTGGTAGAGACTGCACCACGGCAATGGCCGCCACCGGGTCGTCGCAGTTGCTGATGCACTGCTTGTAGAAGTCCATCGGGATCAACGGCTCCTCCAGTTCCCGATACCACAGCTTCATCAGAGAGGCTTCATCAAAAAGAAACCGTATTAATCCATAAAACCTGAGAGTGTGAATGTGAAAACGTCTCTGGATGATAAATCCAACCTGTACCTGGAACGTTGGGGTCAGAGAGATTCTCTGGAATCCTCCACTGGTCCACTTGGAGCTTTAATGCGTTGACTTCATCAATGTCTCCAGGCACTCTAAAGACCAGAGAAAAACAAAAAGAGTTAGGATTTCAGCTGGGTCTTAAAAAGTCAGCAAGAATCCCAATGTTAGGCCTCAAAAAGGTTTAAATTTACATTTTAGCTCCTAAATGACATTTAGTCCAATTTTAACTTCATGTGTAGCTGCTCTGGCTGAGGTAGGAGGAACTGACCGGAGAAGATTGGCACTAAAGCGACTTCTGCTCTGTCTGTTTAGGGAAATGAAATCAAAAGGTACTTTTTATATCATCCACTGCCAGCTTCTTTGACCAAACATACTGGGTGTGTGTGTATGTGGTACGTTAAAAAATGATAAGCATTTGTTAAATAATTAAAATCCTATTTCAGATTATTTCATGTAAGAAAAAATGACTGTAAAACCAAGCTGGTGTATATAAATGGTCCCTCAACGTGTCACCCCCAAAACAGAAAAAAAAAAGTCAATCAAAAGAGTTGCACTCTTTGGCCACTAGAGGGACCTCCGTCTCTATTCCGCATGTCCCTCAGAGCAATTTTAGATTACATTTGTTGTGAATTGGTGCAACGTAAACGCACACAATTCAATTAAACTGAATTAAAATGCAGCTTTTTAAACACAACCTCTTGATCCCAGCAGTCGTACTTTTACTGGAGATGAAAACCAAAACACAATGAAGTCATCATAACCAAACATGTCTTCCAGAGACGTTCCACAGCACGAAGTTTGTTTCGTAAAGGGATCTGATTTGTAAACATGAGGAGATCATACAGAATTCAATCCGACTGAAAACTCTCCACACACACACACACACACACACACACCGCTGAGAGGCCCCCACGTGCTCTGCCGCTCGGACAGCAATGTAAACACACACATCACCCAGTGTCGCGTTACACAGAGCGGCTATGAGGAGCAAAGTTTGCTTAGAAACAGAATGAATCACAAGACCACACACACACACTTGTTTACACACACTACAGATGCAATAAAAGCCATCCATGTACTTTGTGAGAACCCCTTTTAATTAGCCAGACCGCCGCAGCGTCGCTCGTGTCAAGGCACGTTGTCGGCCGACTCGGGGTCCTGCCTCACCTGAAGATGCCCTCCGTCTGAGCACCGCCTAGAGCCAGGACGTACTGGGACAGCTGGACCTGCACCCAGGGCAGCTTCCTGTCTGGAAAGAGCTCGCTCTGCCGCTCCATCACTTCCTCCAGAGAGCTGCCGAACAGAGACGGGGTGATGATGGCCCGTCTGCTGTGGTCGATCTCCTCCAAGGTGGGCTTACGCAGACCCTGCAGGGTAACAAGGAAGCAAGAGGTAGATTTACAATCTGAGTGTGTCAAGGAGACGCGAGGGTGTGGGGAGGGCAAATCACGGACAGGCCTGCAGGTGCGCTGCTGTGACTGGGTCTTGTGTTTACGTTTCTGCCTGTGACTGTTTCGGCACACCTGTAATTACGTCTCCCTTGCAGACGGATGATTCAGAGGAGGTTCGTACCTTCCAAACTGATTCGCATGTCCTCCTGCATCATGTTCCTGCACAGCTTTTGCTTCAAAATTACACTTTAGTCGACTCAAACTTGCAGAGTTCTCAGGACTTTTAGCCACATGCTGAAAGTATCAAACTCTAATCCTGTGACTAAGGCTGTCGCAATAAGGAATAAATCTTTTAATAGCATTATAAATTTAAATGAGCGTGACAAATTTCATGCTTGTTTGTTTAATTTTTTAAAGTGATGCTGTCATTTAATATTAGTGAAGAGCCACCAGTTTGAAACATTTGACAGCCACTTTTACTTGCACTTTTATGTTTTGCAAAAGTCCTAAATGGCAGTTTTTCCCCCATCTGTTTTAAAGGGCAATTTTATTTTGCCGAGTCCTCATAATGCATTTTAGTTTTTGTTTTGGTTGTTTTGTTTGTATTTTTTGGATATTTAGTTTTTGTTTTGGTTGTATTTTTTGGATATTTAAAATGTCTTCCAGATCCAGAGATAAATGTTCTTTGGAAACTAAAGTTTGTTAGTTTCTGGAACAATTAATCGTTCCGCCAAGTGTGTCACTGTGACATATTTACAGCAGGCAGACATTAAAAATAGAACCTGCATAAATCAGAGGATGGATAAAACAGCATGAACGGATGGACTAAAGGATGAACAGATGGTCAGATGGATGAGGGGATTGGTGAATGACGAATAGATGGATCAAAGGATGGATGTACAGGCAAGCAGATTGACAGAATGAATGGATGGACTAAAATATGGATACCTGATGGAACTGATGGAGAATGAACAGAAATTGATTGAGAAAAGATGGATGGAAACCACTTTTGTTTCCCATCTTGTTTTTCCATACTGATAAGTATTTAGAAAACCTCAAATCACATTCCAAACTTTTGCAAATTGCCAAAAAAAAAAAGAATAAAAACTTCTCTGCCCTGCTTACCTTTTTGCCTCCAGTGATAGCCACCTTGAGCAGCTTCCGATGGCAGAATTTGGCATATGTGCTGACAGGAAGGCCTGCAGAGAACAGAACAAGCAAACACTTAGCACCAAAGAAAACCAAACTTCTCCGAAGACAAAAAAAAAAAAAAACAGACCCCCTTTCTCTATGTCCTCAGAAGATCCCAAAGTAAAAACTCTGGAAGCGTCAGTCAGCGTTGATCGCACAGAACAACAAATGATTTAGATTCTTTCCCACGAACGGGAACAGCAGTGTTTTTATTTCCCACAGATGTCAAACGGGAGGCAGAGTTTGGGAGGCGGGCGGCGGTAACTAGAGAGACATGTTGACGGTGCAACGCCGGCATGTGGGGATTAGAGCGTACCCGGTTAAACTGTCAGGCTGAGCCGAGATTTACTGCTGCTACAAAAAGCTTGAGGTACAATCCAACACACACACACACACACACACACACACACACACACACACACACACACACACAGGTGATTCATCAGCGTACACACATTTAAAAGGTCTCTGGAGAGAAGAATAAGCTCGGGGGGCTTCCTGTCTGATACCTGCATTAAAAGCCACAAGATAGTTCAGAAGAGAAATGCATTACAAGTAGGGATACAAGTTATCAATTAGTGAGTTATTTTAAGGTTGACTGACCAATAAGATTGACTAACGATTAATTGATAAGCAACAACTGTCTTTAAAAAAACTTAAAGGGCTAGATTTTTTCAAAATATGATTAATTTATTTTAAAAATAATCAAATATTAACATTATTGAGTCAGCTGTTTTAAACACTGACTGAATAAAAAGGAAATATTAAAAGTCGTGATAGCTTTCAAAATCAGATGTGCTTATTTGTATCATTTTTTTTTAATCAAGTAAAAAAAAATTCTGCGTTTTCTGTCGTAGCATCCTATACTTTGTAGCTCTTCAGTATGAAGTATTTTTTGGTTGAAAAGTTGACGCTGCTTCGTCATAAAGCAAGGCTCAATGAGCGCTATTAAGGTAATGAATTAAGGATTTTGTTGAGTGTTTATATTTCAAAACAAAACCGCATAAACTGCATTTTTCATCCCACACCGCTATCCGTTTGGACCCCGCTTCTCTTTCCCATTCCGATGTAGCTCCGCCATTTTTAATTTCTGTATCAGCAGGCTCCGCTTAAGGATGACCAGCGGCGCCCTCTGTTGGATGGCGGCCAAACTACAACACTAAAAGAAGGCCTAAGCGGACACAAATTGAATGATTGGAACTAATTTTAATCTAAAAAACAATTAAGCGACAATTAATTGTAAATCGATTAATTGTTTGCATTCCTAATTACAAGAGCTGCCTCCCAAGACTGGGCACACTTAAAGAAACCTGGAGAAGATCTGAAAAAAAGTGACCCCCCAATCATCAGAAAGTCTCCTTCTCCAGCTCTCAAAGTAAAAACCAAAAAAGAAAGTTCTGACATTCAGGCATGGATATAATCCCCCATCTTTCATGAGTGAGGTAAGTAGAGCCAAAAACTGCGCTCTTGTGGGCTTTATTGTTCTTCAGCGTCCTCACCGAAGCGAGTACCTGAGGCAGGGCCATGTGGAGATGCTTTCTACAGGGATTTATAAAGTAACAAACTGTCCCCGGCATGTTCCCTAGGGTCAAAGCTCTTAGATTCATTGCAAACAGGTGACTCCTATGCGAGATGCTAATCTGACAAACAGACTATAACTACGTCTATTGAGAAAGATCAGACCAATAATTTGCCCTTGATCTCCACATTCTTCTCTACCCCCAGCAAAAGCTCCCAGCAGAGATGCAGAACAATTAGTGGGAGAGAAGCCTCAGTGCCATTGTTTGCGTATATTTGCATCAGCGTCGACGCCGTCACTGCAGCGACAACCAAGCAACCAAAGCCTGGGAGAAATAGGAGCCCATTAGATGCTTGAGAGTACTGCGCCGGACTGAGAACAACACGACACCAAACAACTCCCAGTGCTGCTGATCACAGCTACTTGTTGATCTGCTCAGCTGCCATCTACTTTGCAAAAGCATTCCTGAAAGCGTTCAGGCTCTTTTAACGTTTCCGTAGCCCAAAAAGTTCGGTTTTTGGTCTCATCTGACCAAGGAACACGTTTTTTGACCTTCTAAAAAGTTTGTTGTAAACTTTTAATTTACGCTATGATGGTTGGTGTAAGTTCTGAAGCTCTTTGGTCAACTTTTGTTTTAAATAGGATATAAAAATAAATTTGATTGACATGCAAGCAGCCACTCTTTCCTAAAGTTCAGATTTGAGTTGAGGGGAACTAATACTTCTCTAGTCAACACACTGATCCAGTTTTTTGCGATTCCTGACACGGAAATTCACCTCAAATCAACAGATTCCCACATTTTTCCCACCATAATGCATAATTATGAGCTTATTGCAAGATTTCTGCAAAAATGATGCAAAACATTTGGTTTAAGTGACAAACTCACCTTACTGCTACTAGACTGCTGTGTAAGCCTTACTTGATGTTAAATTATGGTCCTTTATTTATAGCGAGTAACAAAAATTGAACTATTTAAGTTATTTAGAGAATAAAAATTTTTGCATGTGTAAACCGTCATATTATTCTCATGTTTTTTCTTCTTTATGTAGATTCTGGAAACATATTGCCAAATTCCTTGCAAGTAGCTCAATGAAAACTGTGATTTTTAAAATTATTATTATTATTAATAATAATAATAATAATAAATAAAAATCACAAAAACGATCATAAAGTCGTTTTTGTGTCCTGGAGGGACTGATTAATATTCCCCAATAATCTTGTTAGGTGACTTATAAAATCGACTGTAGAAGTATTAAAAATATAAATGAATGTAAATGTTCACTGCTGTGAATCGTTTTAATCTCTTTACTTCATAATTTTGAACCCAATTTGTGTTGATCCATCAAATAAAATCAACTAAAGTGTCAAAATGTGACAAAATGGCTTTAGCAAAGTTGCCACTCATGTTCCAGCTCTGAGTACCAATGTGGGTTTTATTTTCCTCAGTTTGACCTTTAACTAGTGGGCTTCACCTTCGACCTCTGAGCTCAGCCTTGCTCTGTGTGATTCTGAATCACAGCAGCTCGACGCCAGGCCGCTGTTGTGGTGCTGGATGATGATGTCACCGACCATGCAAGTCAAAGAAGTCGGTGAAGAGAAGCCACGTGCTGCTGCTGATGATGAAGAAATGACCAGAAATGATGCCGGGATGATTCACAGAGCAGACCATTGTGGCTGTGAAGGACCATCTGAAATTCTCGTCCTACTATTTTTCCCTCCCTGTTCAGCTGTCTGTGAAGCCCACTCGTTCTGCCAGTACATCAAAACGCACTCATCTGACAAACTGCATGGCCCCCGGCTTTCCATCCCTCTTCCAGCGGCCGCTCCGCAGGGAGCAGTCTGTTTGATTTGTAATGGTTTTGCACGGCTTCTGCAGAGAGTGGAAAACCATGTGTGGGACTCCCAGCCTGCTCTAGCTTGTTATCCAGCAGAAATGCTGGTGCAAGTGGGAATTGTTCGTCTCTTGGAAAAGCAACATCCGAGACTTATTTTGAAAAATGCCGATGAGCGAGAAAACACACCTTCTTCCTCCTCTGTGTTCTGTTTCCGCTTCTTTCTGGACTTTGAGTTCTTCTTCAGCTTCAGTTCCTGCTGCTCCAAAATAAACTGTGTCACTATGAAAACAAAGAGAGCAAACATCAATTTTCTGGTGAAAACGGAGAACAGGACACTGTTATCCAGGGTTCAATCTGTCCTCCTACACACTGTTACAACACACACCGACAGAAACGGAGGAAAAAGGACTGAGTTCTAACAAAAAGCATCACAGAAGGGATAGAACTAACGATTATTCTCACAATCGATTAATCAGGTAAAAAAAAATTGGCACATTCTACAGATTTTTCATTTAATCACACAAATCTTTTTTTTTTTAGATGATATGCATTAAAAGATGCAAATAAACAAATAATTTAGTTCCTTCTTAAAATAAGAAAATAAACATTGTATTGCCTAAAATGCAATAACATAGCATTCCTTTAGTGACTTTGAAACAATTGAATAAAAAAATGCCACTTGGGGAGTTTTGGGTAAAATATATTTACAGGAAAATACATTTTTATCTTGAACGCAAAATGTATATTTATAATTTGTACAGTTTAGTTTTAATTATCACTCTAAATGTCATTTTTCAGCAGTCTTTTTTTAGTATGATTAATCGATTACTAAATTAGTTGATTATTTTAATAATCAATTCATCACAATTATTCCCATTTATCATTTCAGCCCTAAAACAAAAATTCAGTTCCTTTTTAAAATAAGAAAATAAACATGTCGTTGCCCAAAATGCAACAGCAGCATTCTTTTAGTTTGATCCTTTGTAACAAGAGATGCATCTGTAGCTACAAAATACTTCTAATGCCAACATGTGAAAAGTTCAGCCTTTCCTGCTTGACTTGATGTCAAAACAGCTGATCTGCTGATTCATTTTTGAGTTAATCTATAAATAATTGGAGAGCAACAGGTGCTTAATCAGAGATTTTTTCACAGAATTTGATTCAGATGAAGCTAAAACTGTCACTTGAGGAGTTCTGGGTAGAAAATATTTCCAGACAAAGTTTATTTTTTAAACTTAAATGCAAAATATTTGTATTTTTTACACAATTTTTGCTTAATAACTGCTCTGAGTATATTCTTCTTTCAGCAAATGGCCTTTTTTTTTAAATTTGTATACTCCAGTTAATGATTAATCGAATTCTAAATTAGTTGACAATTATTCCATTAATCGATTAGATCACAGACAAAACAGGGAGGTGCAGACAGAAAGAAAGGTGACCCACCCTGTGCCTCAGTCTGAGACTCACATTTCTTGTCGCTGTTGGGCTCCGTGTGTCTCTGAATGTAGCCCTCCAGGTAGCAGCGAAACTTCGGCGAGGGCGCGAAGAAGGCCAGGCTGACGGCCATGAGCTCCCACCCCGCTGCCAGGCTCCGCGGGCTGGCGTTGCCCGTGGTCTGCCTCACCAGCTGCACGTACAGCTCGTCCCGCAGCCCCGGCATGTCCCAGCACTTGGTGACGATGAGCAGCGCACAGTGGCGGCGGTCGAGGCGCGACGGCCGGTCGCCCATGTAGGCCTGCACCAGCTTGAACATCTCGCAGGCCTCCTTCCTGACGGCGCGGTCGCTGGTGACCAGCATGGGCTTCTTGATGGACCCACGGTTCCAGGACAGCATGTTGGCAATGGAGACCCGGCGCCGGAACAGCCCCTGCGTGTGCATGTTGAGGTGCTTGCTGGCCCAGTCCTCCATGCCCATGTCCGGCGGCGGAGGCTGCCGCAGGGTAGCATAAGCGAGCTGGTAGGAGGACCCTCCTCCTCCTCCTCGGACTCCTGCTCCATCGCCTCCTTCTCGGTTGTCGTGGCTGGCGGAGCGATGCGGGCCTAGAGACGCCGTCCGTCCATCCACCATGCCTTTCTTCCTGCTCTCCAGCTGAGCTTGTAGCTCTAGGGTTCCCGCCTGCAGGAGAAGGAAAGAGGGACGGGAATCAACGAGGTAGTGGATACAAAGAGGGAGAGGCAAAGAGAGATACAAACTCTGAGTGTAGCTGCATTTTTCATTGTGTCACACCAAGAGCCGGACGGCCTTTCGCCTAATACTCTCCCCTCTCTGCAGTGCTGGGACTCCAGGGGAAACTGTAGCAAGATCGGCACATTCGTTTCCTACAGCTGGATGTGTAGCTGGCAGGAAAGTACGTCCTCCTAAACTCTGGCTGCACACCAGCACAGCAGTCCGAACCCCGGCTCTTCCCTAACATCAGACCGGCCTTCCAGAAAATCCAAAACTTTCCTCTTCGCAAGAACTCCCTCTGAACTTTGCGGTAGAGTAAGCAGCAGTTCTAACTCCTTAGAAGAAATGACCGAGAAGGTCAGATATATTCCACACACAGCCAGAAACAACACACAGAGCTAGACAAGGCCCAAAGCGCAGGTTGTTTTTAGAAGGACATAAAATGCACCAAGATCTCTAATCACTGGACCCTCGGGTGGAATGAAACGATCTGTGTTAGGGGAAACTGGATTTCAGATTCTGGTTTCCAATAATCAGCGATAATTGTGAGGTCTGGATCAACAGAGTCCGTATTGTTGAGGCGTATTAAGATACATTCGGGTTTTAACAAGTTAAAGTTGCAAAACTGCTACAATTTTACACCATTCCAATGGTATAAGACAACTTCTAATGGGGCCAGAGGTAGCAGTAGATTGACAGGAGTTTTCTTAACTTCAAAGCTTAAGGATACTAAACTTTTTCCCTGGATACAAAAAACAGACAAACTTGGTTGTTTAAAATATTTCCAGAAGGAAAATAAGATCTCCACCCACTGTGCTTATTAAGGTAAACCAATTAAAAACATCATTTGGCTACAAACTGTATATCTGTAAAGCAGCAGACTGCAGGCTAGTTACGCAAACCAGCTAAAATCATCTCATTATGCATGTTATTTTGTAAACAGGAAAAGTTACATTCTGGAGACCTTTGAAAACACTTTTAGAACAATTACTATTTAAATTTAGATGTAAATTAAGCTTTGTAAAATTTTACTTGCTTAAAAACTTAAAAATAAAAGTTTTTCAAGTTTAGTTAGTGTTTAAGCAAGTAATTTTATATCAAAGTTTTCTAACTTGAACTCTTTGCAGTACACAGTAGGCCTCACAATTATCTACTGAAACGTTTTAGTAATAAATTTAGATATATTCACCTTTTTTCAGACAAAATTAGTCTATATCGTTTAAAAGATAACCAGACGATCCCAAAGACATATTACTCTCGTCCATTTCAGATATTTAAAACATTTTACGACCTTGCAGGACACTGTAAATTTTGCAAATATTTTTTCTATATTTTGGCTTACAACTATAAAAACTAAGAATGTCTATAGTTTGGATTATTTTAGATTTTTTCCCTCCTGTCTAAAATAAACAATAGGTTCATCTTCAGCCATTTGTATTTAAATTTTAAGCAAATATCTTGATGTAGTGGCATTTGAGTACTTTTACTCACAGTAAGCACACAGTGAGTCTCATAGATCAATCGAAAGCCGTCTCAACTTAAAGCAAAATTAAATGTTAGCATGTCCTTTAAAAAAAAAAAAAAAAAAAAAAATCAGTATATTCTATGAATGCATTTGCCTGATCTATCAGCAAGTCTGAAGAACATTCCAGCAGACTTAAGGGGCCCTCTCAACGCTGTCGCTGTTTTCTAACACACGTCAGCTGCAGTGGTACCACCAGGCATTGGTACCGAAACGCCTCTCTCCTCTTCTTCACAATCCTGGACCATATGGGCCTCAGTGGTCCTCCTTCCTGACCGAAGGAGGCCATGTCCTGAATCTCTCTGGCCTGGCATGGGCTTCGCTGCCCAAGCGCAGAGCTGGCATACGAGTTTACAGAGCCTGCAGAGCGAGGCAGATGGAGAGCAGTAAGAGGACGATGACTATTGCTGGAACTACGGCCATTATGGCCAGCAGTGCTCAGCCCGATGCTTCGGGACCGTTTAAATGCCTTTCAGAAGTGCCTTTATAGCAGAATGGGTATCTAGTTATGCATATATGGCTCCCATTTACCTTACAGTTCCTCTCAGCTTTATGCAGACATATTATTAGCCCATAATAATAGGCCATAACAACCTATTGAAAGAGGGCATTGAGTTTGAGAATTGGAAATATGTCCGCATTGATAACAGACAGGATGGCTGTGGGAAATGAGTAGGCATTACAGACGTGCCTAACACAGCAAAGCCTTGCATCGGTCACTGCCCTGAGCTGATGAAAGGCCAGAGGAAGACCTCCACCTCTACAGTGGGGGTCCACTCCTTCCTATCCTCGGTTCAATAAGTGTTACTATACCCCACCCAGGAAGATAGGAAGATTGGCGTTATAAATCTTTAGAGGAGCATCTGGTGGCTCGTTCAAACTCATTCTGCTGCTTTCGGATTCGTGATACGCAGCAGGTATTTGAAAAGGGACTTTAGTCTCTTTACATTGTAAAAAGACCATAAAACTCAATAATTGCAAATGGCCATTCTTTACAAAGTGCAACGTGCGAGTCTTTGGGATGAATCAGACTTAATATAGGCAAGGCTTAATGGGAGTTAACACAATGTGAAACGGTGGAATAGTTATAAAGCAGGAGTGTTCTCTACATTTCTTTTATTCTGCAGATTTTGTAAAGACCTGTGGCTAAAATGTAACCAAATGTCCTCAGTGTGGTCTGAAAAATATACACTGTGCAGAATTATTAGGAAACTGAGTATTTTGACCATCATTTTTAGGCATATTTTCTAACTACAGTGTGAATGAACATGAATTCTTGATGGATTTTAAGAATAGTAGATAAAGTTTATCTATGTAACGAGGGAGGGTGTGACGTAAAGATATCAACACAAAGTGAGCATAATTATTAGGGAACTACTTTCCTCTAGGAAAAATGGGTAAAAAAAACAAACAAAACGATTTAACCGACTATGAAAAGTGAAATATAAACCAAAAGTCTCTTGAAATAACCAAGATCTTGAAGTCTGATCACAGAAACAAACGGTTTGTTGCAAATAGTCATATGGGTCGCAAGAAACGTGTTGAGAAAAATAAGACAAGTTAGCTACCAAGGATTTGAGAAGAGTCGAGCATGAAACTGATCAAGTGACTGACTAAATGATCGAAATGTTTACTGGAAAGTTTTGAGCTGAGAATAAAACAAGTGAGATGGGAAAATTGTGTTTTTCATTTGATTGAGTAATAATTCTCAATAACAGCTGCACAAATAAATATCCTCCTATAAAACCAAAACATCACTTTTACTTTCTTAAACATTCATGTTTGAAGTTTACTAACCTTCTGGATTAACCAAGAGCGCCGTAGACGGTGATTATTAAAAGTAATCCTTACAAATAAGACTTGCCTAATAATTGTGCACACAACGTAATCTAATCAGTCAGCAGGTACATTTCTGCCCTGCCAAACAATCTGTTCATTGTGCCTTAGAGGAACTAGACACATGCATATCTAAAAATTCACACAACTCACAGATGAAAACAAAGATGCTTTATTCAAGCATGACCGGGCCTCATTTGGGAGCAAATTCTTTTCTTATCCGACAGCTAATCTACAGAGAAATCAGTAATCAGAGCTCCACCAGCTCAAATACACTCAAGCATGTTTAAGCTTTTTAATTACATAGTAAAGACAGCGTTAGATTAGCTAGAGTGACGAATTAAATGTTTATTCATGTAGAAACAGATTAGAAATGGGCTGTTTGTAGCTTCATCAGCCCTGGTCTTCTTCCATCAGTATGTATATTGCGTGTAAGCACAACCAGATTATGCTAACAACTAAACTGTTACAAAGGGAAGAAGACTTAAATTAGCCATTTTCAGTATTGATGATGGTTTTAAAATTAAAGGAAAATGTTTACAATTCAGACTGCAAACAGGGAGAACACACTTTAAGAAACATATAAAACATGCAGGTCATTGACCTTCAAGTTTTATATTACTAGCATTAGTGATGCTAACTATGCTAGTCACTAATATATCTCAGAAAGACATTACCTTTGCTCATAGTAATAACTACTACATTTAATGACAGGAGGAGTACAAACAGGTACTAGGAATTAACTTGGCCCCAGACCTACAACCAATAGTCATAACGTTACCTGTGATGGTGGTCCTGGGGTCTCTGGTGAAGACAGGCTGGCCTGGCTGTTGATACTCATCTCCAATGTATCCACCTTTTCATAGGTTCTTTTTTGCCTCCCTGGTATTTCCAGAGGGGTCAAAGCAGGGGGGCCGTAGTTAGCCGTCCCCTTTAGTGACCTTGGCGCACTGCTGACATCCTCTCGTGACGGACACCTGCCGGCAGAGCTCACTCCTCCTCCAAACCACCTGAGTGAGTCGGCGGGGGAGCGTGTCCGAGGTACAACGCCCCTGTCCCCCATCTCCGGGTCTAGCCCTGCTCTCACCTCTCTCATGGTGTTGGAGCGACTCACCACCTCCCTCATTTCAGCCATAAGTCTCTCGTTTAGGGCGCACAGCTCCCCGCTGCTGCCTACGGAGCCCGGCCTGCCTCCTGCCCCTCCGCTGCCTCCCATTCTCCTCCGGCTCTTTCTTCTCAAGCTTGGAGAGGGACCAGTTGAGTAACCAGAGTCTTGATAGTTTGCTGTGGCCTGCGGCGTTGTAGACGGGAAGTCTTGCGAGGCCTGGCTGCTCTGCCTGCTGTGCCGCGCGTCCATGGCACGCTGCACGGTGGCCTCAAGGATTCGCCAGTTATGCTTTTTGTCCAGCGAACTTGGACCCGGGGTTCCTGGCTCTCTGTCCCTCAACTGGCCTCGAGATTGTTGCGAAGGTTGGGGTTGAGGCAGAGTCAAAACACGCTCCTGTCTGGACGTAGGGGAGGCGGCTCGCGTAGGCAGAGGAGAACTGGATGGGAGCCCCTGTTTGGGGTCCACGTTGACCATGTGCTTGATGCACTCCAGACCAGCTGGGCTGTAGTCGGAGGAAGACGGGTCTCTCCGGTGTCTAGACCCTGGATGTGACGACGCAGGGTGCGGGAGAAGTCTGGGCTTTTGGAGACTTTGGGTAGGTGTCAAACGAGACAAATGTTGTCCATTGTACAGGTGTGCCCCCTCTACTTCCATATCTGTAGGAGGTTCGTCATATATGGGACAGTCTGACACTGGCTCGTCATAGATCGGGGCAGTGCAACCATACGGAGGAGATACAGGGCGAGGGGTGCAAGTTTGTGACCTATGGAGGAGCGGACTGGGATGGCTACTGTCCGACGTCACCAAACAGAAACTACCGTTGCTGGATTTTCTCACGTGCTGAGCCTGACGTGCATCACTGGTCATTTTGCCAGAGGGGGCTGTTTTATAGCCCTGGCTGGAGCTTAGCTGTCCTCCTTGGGGCTTGCTGCAGGATTGGTGCAGGGAAGCGGTGCTGGCTTTGCTGTGCGCACTGTGCTGAAGAGGTGGGATGGGCTGGCCGCGCTGCATGCTGTTCACCTTCACCAACATAGCTGCTTTAGAACCGGGAGCCGGCTGCCATCTTTGAGCGCTATCCCTGTAAAGACATAAGTGAGATTTAAATTCAGTAACAGCAGAAGAGTAAACTCTTTAAAAAGCCCGTCATAAAAGCGGCATCATTATATATGACAACTGCAGGCCTGACGGGGCTGGGAAAATCTCCAGCAATCCATGAAGTCTTTTCCAAACATTTCCCTAACCTCTAAAGACTTGAGTCCATTTTTAGCCTGGCAGTCAAAACAGCCCTGTCAAAACCACAAGACAATGACTCCTGTATGCGTGTTGTGCAAATCAGTAGCCTAAAATTACCGACTGACTGAACAAAACACATCTTTCTTGAGGTCCTCTTAATAGGTGTGACTCATGTCTGGGGACCATATAGGACTCATGCAAAAATATTTACTTGGACTCATATGTAGATGATCAAATGCGGAGCTGCTGGGTCGCCGCTGGAACATCTGAGCAGTGAATCAGCGCACGGAGAGCTGAATCAAGTCAAGACCACAGCTCCTCACAGATGAGGTTTCCCGAAGGGTGACTCTCCCCCCTTTTTGGGTTGAATGACCGGCCAAACTTCAAAGCCAAGAGCTAATCCCGACAACGAAAAACAATCTGCCATCAATCTGGTCACGCTGCTCTGGTCTGCTGCCCTCAATGCTGCTGCTGCTTTTTAATCCTCTACTGCGATCTCATCCCTCAGCTGATCAAGACGTGGCCTATAGAACGACATCTACATGTAAAATCAGCATAAAGCCTGTATGTCCGTGAGTCTACGCTGAGAAAGCGGCACATGGCTTTCTTAAAAAGCAAAACAGGTAAATGGGTTTAAATTGAGGCCAAGCAGACTTACCTTCACACACTCCGACCCAGTCCAATACGGTCATTAATTACATCAAAGCCGATCATCTGGGTAAAGCCAAACAAACAGATCAGCGCGGAGCTGAGAACTTGTGCTTAAAAGCGTCTCTTCACCAGGAACACTACGACTTGAGAGTTGGTGGACTAGAAGAGCAGGAAAAGGACGGCGAGGGAGGAGAGTAGGAGGTGGAAAGACCCCCTCCTTCTGCCCCCTACGTCTCTCTGGAACAATACTGAAACAATTCCCCAGAGCTCCCTCACACCAACGGCCAACTTCCTTTAGTCCTCGCAGCTACGGATTGGCCCTCCATTTCTTTATCAGGACCCCGTCTGAGTCTTCCCCTCCACCGCCCTCCCATCATCTCCCTATACAGAGTGACTCACGCTGCCTCAGTCATCTGAATGTAAACACACACTCATCCTGAAACACTCCAACAAAGTCACCATCCAGGCATGGCCTATTAGCAGCCACTCAAATACGCTGCACTGATCTCTGACGAACATCATCCCACTCCCTCTTCCTCACCAAAGCCTACAGGGACGTTTTACTGCCCACTTAACACATCCACAGACAGACACGTGCGAACGACCGCTCTGATGAAACGCCACTGTTAGAACTGCTACAAGCCAGTGGCAGTGTGCCTGCTTACACAGGGTGGTCAGGTGACGCGCAGCAGCTGTAAATATGTGGAACCGCCGCCTGCTCGCTTTGAACCAGGGGACGTTTTCCCACTCTGGTCTTGTCAAACAGGAAGAGGAGCCACCGTGGCAGGTGGTGCACAGCCGGCCGTTTTAGCGCCGTGCAGAAAACTACAAATCCCAGTCTGGTACTCCAGCATAAAAACAAAGTGTTGGGAGGATGTAATTGCCTGGTGAATAAAACATGACTGGGCTTCTCCAAATTTGGGCTGCATGAGTGACTAACTTTGTGAGGATTGACCCCCAAAGAAGAAATGACCACTACTTCCTGTGTGTGGAGAAAACTGGGAGGGTTGGGAGAGAGGGCTTATGCTGTACAAACAGGAAATGTTTTATGTGAGGTTCACACGCTGCATTTATGGAGGAGAGGGACTTTTACACACATTTGGAAAATAAGAAGAGCCTAATTGTGATGTGGAAGGAAACAGAGAATGGTTGGAAAAAAATGTGTCATGCATTTGCATTAAGCCAGCTTTACTCAAATACCCCACGATAAAATCCAGCAAATGTCCTAAGATGTCACCTAATAAGTAAACAGAAGCCACCTGTGTGTAATTTAATCTTGGCATAAATTAGGGCTGGGCAATATGGCTGACAAACATGATAAGCATTTCAGATCAGTTGATGCCAATAATTAGATTCATATTTTGCTTTAAATTTCTGAAATGCAGCCAAACTGGTGGCCCAACCTTTCCTGTTTTATCCAGTTTCCTCTCTAGCTATTGTAAGTGACATATAATGGAAAAGATTCACAAAAGCTCTCCATCTATTCTGACTGAGGTTGCACTGTTTTGCATAAAAAGTGCTAACTTTTCATTCTCTGGATGTGCAGTGCCGGTAGAGTGAGAACCAAAAAGACTTGCAGCCGTAACTGCAATACAAGCTGCTTCTGGAACATACCGACACACTGGGGTTGAATACACCACATTTTATTAGTGAACGCTTTGAAAATCATGGTTATGTTTCCTTCCACTTTGCATTCATGCACCATTTTGTGTTGCCTGATAAAATAGAGGCTCAGCAGCTCATTCCTCATAGTTCAAAGAGATGGCTTTTTAAGGCGTCGTCTTTGTTTTCTTTGTCCAAACCAGGCATGGCAAGAAGCTTAGACTGTTTACCTTGTCTTAGTACATGGATGACATACTGAGTGTCATGGACCTTAAGATAATGATTGTTGTGATTTTAGCCTGACGTCAAACTGTCTTCAGTGGACACCCGTCTTTTCGCGGTCCAGTACTTGCAAATTTTCTGTGGAACGTAATTCTGATATTTGCTGATTTTTCCCCAACAGAACATCCAAAATATTTGAAAGAAAATATATCCTTGTACTTAGGCACAGTGATGTTGGCTGGTGTTTTCAAAGCCACCAACTCAGGAGTGCCGTCTATTTTCCTTGGCACTGATTGGCTATATCACCAACAGCGTAGGTAAGACTGCAGATGTCCGCTTCTGCGATAGTGCTAAGATGGTTTCCATGGTGTGCATCAATGCAAATTATGGTATATTTGAGGTTTGAACTAATAAAATAGGCAGTTCTGAGTGTTTTTAGGGAGGGTCTCAAGTATTTGTAGGTTTTAGCCATTAGCAGATGGCTGTGGTCCCTAAGCCCCTGCAAATACTCGCGGTTCACTATACAGGACTTTCAATCTCTTTTCAAGGCTCGTCATCCCGTTACACACCAAACACATACCAACCCAAGTTAATGAAAAGCCCGATTCTAAATTCTGCACCAAAAGGAAGACCAGAGCAGCACAATGCTGAGAAAAGCCACAGCTAGAAAACATAGGGTAATTTGGAGGTGGTTTTAGTGTGAGGTCTGAGTGAGCAGCAAGAGAGTGAGTGTGAATGTGTGTGTGTGTTTGTAAATGAGAAGGGGTGGGGATTAGTCGTGGGAGAGTGCAGCGAGGGAATGAGCGGGAAGGCTGGAATTCCTCAGGGCTCATTCAGTGGCCTTTGTGGCAGCTAGGCGAGCCCAACACAATGCGTGGCTGTGCCATCGTCACGGAGACGCCTCCCTCAATGGCAGCAATGGAGATCGGTGGTGGGGGGAGGGGGGGGGCAGAGGGGGGACAAGAGAAAGGGCCATCTTTGACCTCTCGCGAGTCTGGCGGCATCCGGGTTACGTAATGTGGCGCAGGGCCCCTGGCGTCATTCTAACCGCAAAGAGAGTTGTTTGGAAAGGGCGTGTTGTTTGCTGGATGGCCGCCTGTCAGGTGTTAGCCTAGGATGGGCGCTATGCACGGCTATTCATCACAAAAGTTCAAAAGGCAGGCTTACAGCGGGATTATTTCGATTCTTAGCATTTAAAAACACACGAGAACAGCCCTTTAGAAAACAGAAAATCCTCTCCTTCTGAGCAACGAGCTTGCATGTGATAAAGAAATGTTAGATGAAATAAGTTCAGAGCTCCTCTGGCACTGAATGGGGTAATCTGATTGCTTCCGAAGCAACAAATCAGGTTAACTGTCAGCAAATTTCAATTAGCCTCAGATCCTCTGGTGCCTCTAAATCCCAAAGAAGGTCTTTGAAAAGCATTTCACCTCTGAATGTTTAACATTTCTATACTACTGGTGGGCGGTATGGATTTAGGATTTTATCACGATATTTTGCGGCAATGTTGCAATAATTCTTTTTCAAAATGGCCCTTACTTAAAGAATTGTGATTTGCATAACTGAACTGCACATAAAAACCTCAGTTAATCATATATATATTTTTTTAATTTACTGATATTTAGTGATGCTCTCATGGAATAAAGAGTGAAGAAAATAGCAAAAACGACATTTCAGTCAGTTTTTTTAAAAGTATTAAGTGAAATTTATTAACAATAAATCAAAATTCTTATAAAGAAAACTTTTCCACAACACCCACAGCTGTTATCCACTCCTCTCTCTGTTAAAGAGACGCATCCCAATGCCACGATGCTGCCACCACTGAAGGGAAAAAAACCTGTCGCAGTGAACAATAAATCTATTAATCGCATTATAAATTAAAATGAGCTCAATAATTTAAGGGCTGTTTTGCTTACAGAGACATAATCCATTTTATTAATGATTTTGGTTGTGGGTATGTTTTTGATTTCCATTTCATTTATGGTTTTTGGTCATTTTGTATATTTATTTTAGAGGTCTTCCAGTTCCAGTGTTAGATGTTTTTCACAAAATGAAAACTTATTGCATCATTATGCCATTATCATTATATTACCTGAAAATGGTCTCAAAAATAACAATGTTATTGGTTTTCACAATAATTTCTTTATTATTCGTTTTATCATAAATTCTTTTGAACACTACAGTATTTCTGTAGTTCAGTTTCGGGAGAAAATTCTCACTACATGTCTGAAATAAATTTGGAGAAGCCATTAGCAGAGTCACTTTGCAGGACTGGAATATGGATTTGGAAATTCCTAAATATGACGAGAACAGTGGGATAACAAAAACAGGTTATTATTAACATCGGCAGAACAGGAAGAGGAAATGAGG